CTAGCCCTTACCCTAGACACAAGATGTCACTAGAGGAATTTGAAGGCTGTGATGCATGGAGGATAACCATAGCAACAACAAATCTCAAATTCAGCTCAACTCCTGACTAGACTTAACAGAAAACTTCACATTAAAAGCGTAACTGGAGGAAAGTCATGCTTATCTCCAAGACAGTATCTATGTCCCACACAAGATGTTCAGTTTCCAATAAAACACTATGAGCCACATAAAAAGGCAAGGAAAAAAACACACTTTGAAGAGATAAAGTAATCATCAGAAACAGAGTCAGATAAGACACATATGTTATAATTAGAAGAGAATTTAAAATAACTATAATTAATATGTTAAAGGCTATCATAGAAAAGGTGGGCAGTATGCAAAATCAGATGGGCAATTTTAGCTGAAAGATGGAAACTACAAGAAAGAATCAAATGGAAATACTAGAAACCAAAAACACAGTAACAGAAATGAAGAATGCCTTCAGTGGGCTCATGAGCAGACTCAACAGAGGAGAGGAATGAATCAGCGTACTAAAGAGAAGTTGATAGAAATTAACCAAACCTATCTGAAAAATAGTCGGGAAAAAAGAGTAGGGAAGAAAACAGCATCCAAGAGGTGTGAGACAATATCAAATGATCTAATGTACGTGTAATTGGACCTGCAGAAGAAGAGACAGAACAGAGGAAATATTTGAATAAGTAATGGCTGAGAATTTTCTAAAATTAATGACAGACACCAAACCACAGATCAAAGAATCTCAGAGAATGTCAAGCAGGATAAATTCTAAGAAATGTACCACACCTAAGTATAGTAACTCAAGCTTCCGAAAACCAAAGACAAACAGAAAATTCCAAAGGCAGTTAGAGAAAAAAAGACAAATCACCTACAAAAGCCACAGATGAGAATTAATAGAGACTTCTCATCAGAAACCATGGAAGCAAAAGACGATGGAATGACATCTTTAACGGAGGAATTAGGAATACACTGTTGTAAGATCTTAACACTACATGTGAAGCAGTTTAATATTCGAAGATAGTTTCAGATTTAATTTATTTTATTTTATTTTATTTATTTTTTTTCTTTTGTGAGGAAGATCGGCCCTGAGCTAACATCTGCCAATCTTCCTCTTTTTTTGCTGAGGAAGACTGGCTCTGGGCTAACTTCCATGCCCATCCTCCTCTACTTTATATGGGATGCCACCACAGCATGGCTTGCCAAGCGGCGCGTTGGTGTATGCCCAGGATCCAAACTGGCAAACCACGGGCCACTGCAGCAGAGCTCACGCACTTAACTGCTTGCACCACCGGTCCAGCCCCAGTTTCAGATTATTTTAAAATGTATATTTTAAATCCTTGGGCAACAGCTAAAGCTTTAAAAGGTGATAAAAGTAATTAGTCCATAGAGGAAATAAAATGAAATCATAAAAAAATTCTCAATTAACCCAAGAAAAGGGGAAAAAGGAAAGAAAAAAATTCAACAAATAGAAAAGAATTAGCAATGCTAATTGGGTTGCTAGTTGGAAACAGCAGTGCTAGTTGGATGCTAGATTTTAATCCAACTATATCAATAATCACTTTAAATGTGAATTATGTAACCACATTAGTTAAAAGGCAAAAATTGTCAGGTTGAATCTTTAAAAAAGCAATATGTAACTATATGCTGTCTACAAGAAATCCACTTTAAATACAAAGACTTTAAGATAGGTAAAAAGCAAAAAGATAAAGAAAGATACATCATGCAAACACTAACCAAAAGAAAGCTGGAGTGGCTATACTTATATCAGCCAAGGTAGACTTCAAAACAGGAAGATGAACATTACATAATGATAAAGAGGTGAATTCCCCAGGAAAATATAACAATGCTAAATGTGTATGCACCTAAAAACAGAACTTCAAAATACATGAGACAAAAACTGGTCTGAAAGTACAAATAAACAAATCCACAATTATATTCAGAGATGTCAACACTCTTCTCTTAATAATTGACAGACTATGTAGGCAGAAAATCAGTAAGGATAGAGATTACCTGAACAATATCATTAATCAACTTGATCTAATGGAAATTTATAAACAAATGCAAAATACACATTCTTCTCAAGTGTACATGGAACATTCACCAAGAATGTTATGAGCCATATTATGAGCCATAAAACAAACCTTAACAAATGTAAAAAGACAGAAATCATACAAAGTATGTTCTTGAATTTTAACAGTATTAAACCAAAAATCAATAACAGAATGATATCTGGAAAATCCCCAAAGATTGAGAAATGAAACACACTTCAACCTGACACATGGAATAAAGAAGTCTCAAGGGAAATTTTAAAATATTTTGAAAATTTTTTAAAACATTTTTTGGAAAATGAAAATGCAGCATATCAAAATTGATAGGATGCAGCAAAACCAGTGCATACAGGGAAATTTTTAGGGGTAAATGCTTGTATTAGAAAAGAAGAAAGTCTCAAATCAGTAACCTAAGCTTCCACCAGAAAAAAAACTGGAAAAAGTAGAGCACATTCAATCCAAAGGAAGCAGAAGGTAGAAAATGCTAAAGATCAGAGCAGAAACCAATGAAATAAAAAACAGAAAAATAATAGAGGAAAGAAAACAAGCCAAGAGCTGGTTCTTTAAAGATATCAATAAAATTGATAAACTTCTAGTCATATTGACCAAGATAACAAGAGAGAAGACACAAAATTACCAATATCAGGAATGAAAGAAAGCCATCACTACTGACAACAAAGACACTAGAAGGACATCAACAAATGTTACAAATAGCTCTATGTCCACCAATCAAAAACTCAGATGAAATAGAATAGAATAAATCCCTGAAAGACACAAGTTTGTCTTGTGTCTACTCAAAAACAAATAACCTGAATTATGCTATATCTATTACAGAAATTAAATATATTTTTTGTGTGTGTGAGGAAAATCAGCCCTGAGCTAACATCCGTACTAATCCTCCTCTTTTTGCTGAGGAAGACCGGCTCTGAGCTAACATCTATTGCCAATCCTCCTCCTTTTTTTTATTTTCCCCAAAGCCCCAGTAGATAGTTGTATGTCATAGTTGCACATCCTTCTAGTTGCTGTATGTGGGACGCGGCCTCAGCATGGCCAGAGAAGCGGTGCGTCGGTGCGCACCCGGGATCCGAACCCGGGCCGCCAGTAGCGGAGCATGTGCACTTAACCACTAAGCCACCGGGCTGGCCCAACAGAAATTAAATTTAGTTAAAGCTTTTTTAAAAAGTTAAAAACTTTCTAACAAAAAACTTCAGGTCCAGATGGTTTCACTGGTGAATTTTACCAAACACTAAGAAAGAGATACTAACAATTCTACACAATCTCTTTCAGAAAATAGAAAAGGAAGGAACACTTCCAAACTCATTTTATGAGGCAAGCATTACCCTAATTCCAAAATTGAACAAACACATTTCAAGAAAAGAGAACCAAAAGCGCCTATCCCTCATGAATACAGAAGCAAAAATTCTCAACAAAATATGGACAAATTGAATCCAGTAGTAAACAAAATGATAGTACACGACAATCGAGTGGGCTCACCCCAGGAAGGCAAGACAGGGTCAACATTCAAAACCATATTAACCGTATTGGCACACAAAAGAAGGACATATGAGAAAAGCTGCATGACTTCGGGTTCGGCTATGAGTCTAAACATATGACAGCAAAGGCACAACCCGCCCAGCTATCAGGAGGAATGAAGAACTGAGTCACACCACATGTGGATGAACCTCAAAGTGCATGAGAGAAGCCAGATACTGTATGATTCCATTTACAGGAAATGTGCAAAAAAGGCAAATCGGTAGAGACAGAAAGCAGATCAGCGGTTGCCTGGGGCTGGAGATGGGAGCAGGGTATTAACCGCAAATGAGCATGAGGCAGCTTTTTAATTGTAGTGATGATTGTAAAATTCTATATATTAAACTCTTTACTTACAGTGGGTGAATTTAATGGTGTATAAATTATATTTCAATAAAGCTGTTAAAAAAGAAGTGACAAGAAAAAAAGAAACCAAAAACAGAAAGACTTATTAAAGGCATTAAACATTAGGAACAGCCATAGATCCACCCCTGGAAGAGGTCTTTCTTTTTACTAGGTCAGAAACTGTGAGAAATTAGTAAGACATGGAAATAAGATTAACTCATTCTTAATTAAGACTTGTGGAGGAAGGTGTAAGGCTGAAGAGAGGCCACTGGAGGGGGCACTGCGGGGGCTCTGGCCAAGCAAGAGCGCCCTGCTTAGCAGGCATTGCAGACTGCCTCCTGAGGGAGGAGAGCAGCGTGGGCTGAGGCTGGAAATGAAGACTGTGTCAGTCACACCAGGGCTTACAGACCACAGCATGGGTCTCGGATATTATTTTAGCCACAAAGAAAACCCAGGAAAGCGTGTTAAGCAGAGGAAACCATAATCCCATTTGGTCTGTCAGAGGCCAGTCCAGCAGTTCCGTGGAGAAAGCATATAATACCTGAAGGCATGGACTACAGTTTGCCCATCTTTGTAACCATCACAGGGGGTTACCCACTGAGAGGAAACGGGAGCTACTCAATCCATATTTGTTAAAGGAATCCATGTACAATAGTCATTCATTCCCATGATTCACACAGACTGGCTAAAAAAGGCTGACCCAACCACTGCCAGGGCTGAGTCCCCTGTCAGCAACCCATAACCCATTTCTGAGCTCTGTCCTTGCAGAGGAAAGACAATGTCATCTCCCTCTGATTTACCTCACATAACCCCCTCACCCTTCTACTGATCATCTCCATGAGGTGCTCCACTAACAGAGGTGACAGAAGCAGGATTTCCTCCTCATTCCCCATGCCAAAAGGCATAAACTCCCAAAATTGCTTTGGAAGCCAGCTCAGCCCCAGCAAAAAAGCTGCACTCTTCTTGTCGAGTTTCCTGTTCTCACTGAACACCAGTTGCACAGGCTACAGAGGTCATGATAGGCGAAGGGGCAAAGACTCTTCATCTCTAAGACAGCCTTACCTGTACCTTATAAAGGCGCTGGAAAGCATCCTTCTGAAATGTTTTCATATTGATGGTGGCTAGCACTGTAGAGAGAAGGGAGAGATGCTGCAAAAGGCACTGTGACAAGTGCCACCAGAGGAGGGACGCAAGCCCACACCTTGAACACGGAAGGAAGGTGTGCTGAGTAGTAAGGATAATGAGATACTACTTGTGTTCCACTTTGCAAAGTACAAAAGGCTGTCATATACATCCTCATATCATTGGACACTTGCAAAGACAAGGTGAGGTAAGAAAGGTGGTTAAAATTGACCATATTTCGTGCAGAGAAGTGGAACAGGCCAGGGTCACACAACTTGATAAGACCTAGCAATTGAATGTAGGTTTTCTGACAAGTTCAGCACACTTTCTACCACACCATGGAAATAATGTGAGGAGGAGCCACCAGGAAGGAGGAGAGACAGCAGGTCTTACGCTCAGGACTAGCTGACAGATATTCCCCTGGACCTACGTGGCTGCTCACACCATGGCCATTTCCCTCACTGTCATCACCTTATGGTTTTCTTCTGAATTGTTCTGCTAATTTATTCTCAGGACCTACTCAGAGCCCACAGTGAGCCTCAGGCTGCAGGATCCCAGGACTGGGACTTTGCCCTAGGCCGGCTTCCTGACACAACACCTATCTTCCGCTTCTCCATGTTGGTGGAGAAGGCCTTGACTCTAAGCCATGCCCAGCACCAAGGGAGATTCTTAGCCACAGAAAAATTATGAGAGATGGAAAGGTATACTGAGGACAGAAGAGCTCGACTATGGCTCTGTTTAAACAGAGACCACAGGAGTGAGGAAAAGACGTAGAGTGGTGAGTGAACTCTTCGCTTTGACCTTGAGTCCTTATCTGCTGTAACACCAAATCTCTGGGGTCTATTTCAATGTACATGGGAAAGAGAGGCATCAGAGACACTCTTGGTTTTTCCTGAGGCATGTTCAAGACTCAAATTCGCTGGTTCAGTTATCTCTTAAAATAATTCTAAATTTGTACCTCCTTTTATGTAGCCTTTTACCACATCTTTCGTATTATCCGAGGTCAAGGGCAGCTCCACAATTCCTCTTTTCAGCAAGGCCTGTTGAGAAAAGTGGACAAAATGAACCCACTTCCCTTGCTGCCAAGGGAAGAAGGAACTATAAGAAAATTAGGAAATAAATACAACTGGGCTCAGATGGGCAACATGTGAGCTAAAGAGAAAAGTTTGCATGGAGAGTCTGACCATCTGCAGCTCAGTAAATTGGGGGAATCATGGTCTCCATCCCCGTCTGGTGTTTCTCCCAGGGATGATTACAAAAGCAGCTAAGCATGGGCTCTGACACTCCATGGCCATAGCCTCAAGGGGAAAAGCACAGGCCAAGTTGACGAGGAGGCACCCCGAGGGAGGACCCAAATCCGAGAGAAAGAGAGAGACGAGACTTGGGAAAGTCTTTGTGCCTGAAGGGGGACAGCCGAGGCTGTGGGGCCCTAAGAAAGATCAGAGACAAACTTCACAAAACTCAGGCCCTACCTGGACACTCGAAGGAAGCAAGGAAGCCTGCCGTCGCTTTGGGGAAGCGGGAGATCTAATTTGAAAATCATAGTTACTGAGGGCATAGGAAGTGGACAGATGGCCAGAGGGTGAGAGGACCCTATCTGTGTGTCCTACGTGTTCAGTGAGCCATATCCAGGCCTGGGAGGGAAGTTGAGTGGTAAATTTTAAAAATCAAGAAGAAATAATGCTAGCTGAATGAGATTGATTTGAGGGGATCTGATGTGATGATGCTCCTGAGAAAAGTCAGGGAGCGGAATTTCTCACAGACCTTGTCCAGCTCCAGAAGCTCCAGCTATAGGGCAGGAGCCAGGACATCCGTGGAGTCCAGCCCTGCCTCCTCCCTCTCTTGTCACCTGCTCTCTCTTCTTTGCCCAACTGGCAACTCCTTCCCTCACTGCTCTCCAGGTCATCCCACTCAGAGGTCTCTATATGGACAGAGCTAATGGGCTCTGTGTGGACAGAGCTAAAATGGAACCCCTGCATCCTATTTAGCAACCTAGGGAAGGAATCCAGTTTAGACTAGAACTCATTACCTTCCTGAATGTGGGAAGTCAGGGAAGGAGAGGCCTGACTGCCAGAAAGGACACAAGGCAGGACTGCAATTACTCCCTGGCCTGAGACATCCGCCCAGGGAGGAGCAAAGGCAACAGAAGAAAGAATATTAATACTACGGGTCAGAAAGCTGCAAGATGATGGCCATCATCATTAAGTTCATGAAGCATTATCTATTTTCTGTGGATGTAGATTCACCAACCCTCAGCTTTAATGAGAGTTGTAGATCACAGAGATAGCAACAGAAAGGAATAATGTTTTAACATCATGTTTTATTCATAATAAAGATATCTGAGTACATCTTGATCACCCTGACCATATTGTAGATTCACAAAGAAATTGAACTTGATCTCATATCCCACATTGCCTCACACAGAGTCACCCATGTAGCCAGGACTCAGAAACGCATGCTGTGAAAGAGACAGACTGGAGAAGAAAGCATGTAAGTATGGAGACAAACCAAGTGTTTCTTACCTTTTGAACATAGGGCATGTAGTCTTTATCCTTATCGAATGAACCATATTCATTCTCCACCTGCACTGCAATGATGGGGCCTCCCTTGCGATACTGAGAGACAAGCAGATGATGAGGGAGAGTGAAGCTACTGGGTGGAAAAAGCGTGGAGTCTGTGGGTTTGCTGCTGAAGATAACACACCTGGGTCAGTATGCTTTGATCCAAGTTGTACCTTAGTTCGGGCACTCTTTCTCCTCCCCTGGGGTCCTATAGTTAGTGTCAAGTCCAGGCACTTCAGTGAGCTGCTGCAAGGAGTCCTACCTTGGCTAGTCCTTGTAGATAAGCCACTCCCACAGTTTTCCTCTCTATTTCTCATACAAATTAGCTACTTAAATATGAAATCTCAAACCTACAATCTCACCTGCTTCCTCGCCCACCCTACCCACTTTCCCAGCTGACAAACGAAAGAGGTGTCCCTCCTCCTGTCTTAGGGCAATGCCACCACTCAGGCGCAGAGTCCCCATGCCTCCCACACCTGCTCAGGAACTTAGCTTTCTGCACTGTTACCTCTCCCTTCTGTACTTTCAACCTTTTCTTCCAAACTGATGAACTTCCATCGTCATGGAAACTTATTCAGAACCCTCACATCAGAAAAAGAGAGAGAGGGAGGGAGGGAGTCCTCCAAGACTGTTCCCCCCGCCTCCAGCAACATGTCTCTTGCTCTCTCCTCCCTAAAGGCCCTACTTCTTGAGAGAGGTATCAGTTGTCTACACTCACTTTCTCTGCTTTCTCACTTTTACCCTACTCCTCAAACCCCCATGGGAGAGCTTCCACCCCCGTCACATCATCTAAGCCATCAACATTGACCTAGTTGTGCTGAAATTTATAACACTTTTCAGTGTTTAGTTTAATCTTTCAATGTCTTCCACACTCAAGTCAACTGTTTCTTGAAGCCTCTCCAGACTGAAGGCAGAGTTAGCTCTTGACAGTGAACGTCAGCTCACTTCCCTCCCCACGTGGCTCTGACTGCCTACAGAGTAAATGCCAGTTTTAGAGTGGAGTGTTCTCTTTTTGACAATGGGACACTAGCTCCTGAGTTGGAACAGAGGAGAATGAGCATGTTTGGTGGGTTTTCCTTTACAGCCTCACCTTTTGCTTCTTTCTCACCTCACACTCTATGCTCTAGACCACTGAACTTCTTTTAGTTCTTCAAACTCCTCATTCTCTCTCTTGCCATCTGGTCTTCATCTGTGTTGAAGACTCCTGACCATCACCCCTGGCCTGGCTAATGCTTGCCCACCCTTCAAGTCACTGTTTAAGATACTTTTTCCGGAAAACATGCTCCAAACCTCCCTTTCTCCCTTGTTAGGGACGTCCCGCACTTCCTCCACTGTGGCAAGTATCACTCATGTTGTAAGCGCTGTTTGCCTCTTACGCTGCACTGCAAGCTCCAAACAGCAGGGACATGTCTGTCCTTCTCGCCATTGGAAGTTTAGCTCCTACACAGTGCCTGGCACATGGTAGGTGCTCAATAATTACTCGTCGAATGAACATAAGTATCCTGAACTGGTGAATTGAGAAAAGTTGTTTATGTTATTGAACAGTATCTTCTCCCCAACTTGAAGGGTGAGATTTCTAAAAACTCCATTGCAGGAGAATTCACAGTTGCGTTATGAAATAAACAGGATTAGAAGAATAAAGGTCCCAAGCAAAACGGTAAATACACTCTAAAAATTATTTAAGTATAATAATTAAAACAATGAAGACAACCAATCAAACAGAAAGACCTTAAAATGCTAATAATTTAGTAATAATGAGCCCTATGCATTTCATTTGCACTTATACTTCCTTACTTCTTAAAATTTCCTAGGATTTCCCACCTCATGACTTCAGTGGGGTGTTTATAAATTTGCTTTGCCTCCTGCACCTGTACAAGCTGTGCCTCAGCTTCCTTCCACACACTCAAAGTCTCTCCAGCTGTAAGGCTCAGAGATGTTGACTCCTGCCGTTGAGTCCCATCTGGATTGCAGAAATGCAGCCACAAACATATGGCTTAAGCCTTTCTTACAAAAGACCTACCTCAATTCCACCTAACAGACCCAGAGCTTCATCCTAAAGACAAGGTCTTCTTCCCTTAGTGCTTCTCACCTCTCCAGAAGCTGTATTGCAGAAACGTTATTTCTACTCTTTCACTTCATTTCCATTCCTAATCCCCCAGTTCTTCTCTTTATAATTATCCTAATAAGAGTAACATCAATTCACAATTCAGAATTAGTTATAGAGGGCTGGATCTGCATCATATTTTCCCCCAATAGAAGAGCCTAAGATAATAAGCTATTAGCCTACTATCTAATAATTCTGGGTTTTGTCCCATCTCAGGCTATATCAAGAGATATGTTCTGATTTATTTTTATTTAAATAATAACCATGTGCCCCCTCTTGTTTGAAGAGAGTTATATTTTAAAAAGCAAACACAATGATCAAACAATTATTGCCTTGTAGACTTCAGGGTATAATGTTCTTTGTTTGTTACATACTGTTCTACGTGCTGTAGGTTCACATTGTGAAAATAAAGGCATTTCTTGTCAAGTGCATAGGGTCAGAGTACTCCATGAAGAAAGGAAAATGCACAGTGTCTGTGCTCTACGCGTTTATGAAATTAAAACAAACTGAAATGTAAGCAATAGCAAATACAGTCACACAGGTACAAAATGACACACGAACCAAGTTATTCCTTATAGCATAAACTGGAAAAATCAAATGTCCATGACAAGGGCGCTAATTAAATGACTTATGACATATTGATATCATGAAATACTATGCAGCCACTAAAAAGAATGGCAGGTTTCAAAAATATTTTTTCAAGTGACAAAAGAAAAACGCCCAGTGGGAATTGCATATTTTTATATAAAAAAGTATACACATACACACACATACATATATGCAATTATGTGCATAAATAATTTGCTTCCATATGTGTAGAAAATATCTGGAAACACACACAAAAATCTAAAATTGCTTGTCTCCTCAACCCACCAGCTGGGAGAAGATATTTGCAAATCACACATCTGACAAGGGGTTAATCTCCATAATATGTAAAGAACTCACACAACTGAACAACAAAAAAAACAAATAACCTGATCAAATAATGGGCAGAAGATATGAACAGACATTTTTCCGAGGAAGATTTACAGGTGGCCAATAGGCACATGAAAAGATGTTCAACATCACTAATCATCAGGGAAATGCAAATCAAAACCACACTAAGATATCACCTTACACATATGAGAATGGCTATAATCACCAAGACAAAAGATAACAAATGTTGGAGAGGATGTGGATGAAAGGGAACCCTAATTCACTGCTGGTGGGAAAGCAAGCTGGTGCAGCCTCTATGGAAAACAGTATGGAGATTCCTCAAAAAATTAAACATAGAAATACCTTATGATCCAGCTATTCCACTTCTGGCTATTTATCCAAAGAACATGAAATCAACGATCCAAAGAGGCTTATGCACCCCTATGTTCATCGCAGCATTATTCACTATAGCTAAAATGTGGAAGCAACCAAGTGTCCATTGACTGAGGATTGGATCAAGAAGACGTGGTATATATATATATACAATGGAATACTACTCAGCCATAAAAAAAAGACAAAATCATCCCATTTGCAACAACATGGATGGACCTTGAGGGTATGACGTTAAGTGAAATAAGCCAGACAGAGAAAGACAAACACCAAATGATTTGACTCATATGTGGAAAGTAAACTAACACATGGACAGAGAGAACAGTTTGGTGGTTACCAGGGGCAAGGGGGGTGGCGGGATGGGCACAAGGGGTGAAGGGGTGCATTTATATGGTGACTGACAAATAACAATGTACAACTGAAATTTCACAATGTTATAAACTATTATGACATCAATAAAAAAAAATTTTGAAAAAAATTGGTTGTCTTCTGAAAAGGCAACTGAATGGCTTTGGAACAGGGTAGGAGGGAGAGACTTTTATATCACCATAAACTCTTCTGTACTCTTTTGAGCTTTTTCACCAAGCGTTTGTATTAACTGTTTAAAACAACAAAGAAAATTTAAGAGTAGAAATAAGCAGTATAAAGATCAAGGAGTTTAGTGCATATCAAGTACATTCAGAACATCGATGACAAACACAAACCAATATCCTTTGTCAGTCCCTGTCTTGTGTGATGTGCCTTCCTAGAGGCTCTGGGGTGAGGACTGTACTTAAGACGAGGGTCTAGAACTTCAAATTGCAGGAATGTCAGCTCCCTTTCTCATAGAGACTGCATGGCCTATTCCATAAACAAGCCGTTACAAACTATTTTCCTAAAACAAATATAAGAAAGAAGGAAAGGTCATTTGGCCTCACCTGGAGAGGAACCACTCTGGAAATCAGATGATCAAAATACTTATCAACTGCTTCAATGAAGCCCTTGTCGGTGGTTCTCAGTTTCAACTTGGGGTCTTGCAGTAACCAGCTGGGGGCAAAAGCAGACAAGCTCAGTGTTTGAGGTGAGAAGACAGGGGTAAGGATGAGTCAGAAGCTGGCCAGCCCTTCTCAGAGCTCCCTCTGCACAGTGCTACATCTTTTCATCTCAAGTCCACGATCCTGGAGCAGCAGGGTCCTAAAGCCACGTTACCACGTGAGCTTCTTGGGACCATTCTCACAGACTTGTGGGATTTAGAAGAAAAGATACCCCTTTGTCAACATGACACTCTACAACTGAGGAGACGCTTTCAGCGCCATCAAGGCTCAGACACCTTGTCTTAACGAGGGGTGTTTTAACCTTTCATTGAATACTCCTCTCCATTCTTTTACAGCTCATTAAAAACATTTTTCGTGAGCACAGCCTATGTACCTTAGGCACGGGGTTACTTTTCCTCTAAGACCTAAAACTTCAAGCACAGATTAGGACCTTACAAGCTGGTAAGCACGCCCCCAAGTGTGTGACTTGTAAGGTGCTGGGCGGGGCCTCCAGCTAACCTGTACGGTGAATCGCTGCTTCTCTCAAACACCCACTGCCCTCAAGGTCAGGCTTTTTCTGCTCCTGAGCTGGGATGGGAGAGCAAGCTCATCTTGGAGAAAAGCAAAGCCTTTACCTGACAGAGGGGAGCGAAGGTGCTCACCCGGAGGCAGAGCCATGGACTAACAGGGAATCCTGTCAGCTTGCAGACATAACAGAATATTCTTGGATTCTCATCCTGAACCTTAGTTATCTGGACTGAGGGCCAACATCACAGATGAGAGAACAAGGCAAAGAAAAATGAGAGAGAAGGGAGGGGAGCTGAGGACGCTCAGCACATTGGAGAACTCGGTCTTCCATTAACAGAAAAAGAGAAAAATCAGAAGTCAGAAAAATCAGAACAAGCCCAGAAGTTGTCAGAACCCCCCCTTCCACTCTCTAAAGCTTCCCTTCCCATTCTTCCCACTTCAGGAGTAAAAGAGGGACATCCCTCCCTCCTGCGGAGCAAGAAGAGTATGAACATCCTGATGTGTCCCCCTCGCCTCCCGTACACACACTCTTGGCCATAAGCCCAAAGCACCAAGACCAATGTCTCCAGTCCCTCATCTGTAAAATGGGGATTACGATAGTCCCTACCCCTCACCACACCACTGCAAGCATTACCTGAGATGATGTGTATAAAGCACAGAACACAGTGCAAGACACAGAATACATGCTCATTCTATTAGACTGAAGTTTTACTTTTTAGTAAAGCAAACTACTTTACTAAATCACAACTCTGGACCCCTAGCCCACTCACCTGGGCAAGCCCCCGAGGTCGATCTCACTGCAGATGTAGGGGCCTGGACGCAGAATCACCCACAGCCCGATCTCCGCAGCAGTCAGGACAAAGGCCCTAGGGAGGTCAAGGTCAGCAACTCTCACGCCCTCAGAGTGGAGGGCGAGGCCCAGCCAGCACACATCACATCGCAGGGTGGCGGAGCTGCCAGCTCCTCTCCTCGTTTGCCTTCCTCGCCAACCAGGGAGACTGGGGTGAGTGAAGGGGAGGCCGCAGCCCCTGCCCCCAGCAGAGTAGGGAATCCCTACACCAGCTCCCAGCCTAGGACTGTCTGCACAGCCCCACTGGGGCATGAAGAGGAGGGCAGCAGACAGGGTACAGGGGGGCCCTAACAGTGAACCTGACCCCAACGGCCTTGCCACCCCAGAGGGGCAACCCCTGTCCCAGCCCAGGTGGCTGGGCCACACTGCAGAACGGGGTCGACACTTGGGATTAGGCACCTCTGGGCTGCAGTGAGAGGTCTGGGCTCAGAGGAGGCAGGCCCAGACCCCGGGAGTAACAGGGTCAGGGCTGCAGAGCGTCTGCTGACCTTGACCTGGATGCAGAGCCTTTCCCACTGTCCTGAGAACGAGGCTCCAGACCCTGGTCTCTCTCTGGTTCTCAAGCAGAGCCAAGATGCCCCTACGGCTCCTAATGAACCCCAAGGAGCTACCTCTCTGCCTCCCACCCCAGGCCAGGTCACAGAAGCAGCAACAGCACATACTCCAGGTCCAGGTTCCCAGAGAAGTCAAATCTGCCTCTTTCTGGCTCATGGAGGTTCCACGGAACGTAGCTGTAAGAGGGAAGAGAGAAGCACAATGAGCATCTTCTTATTTCTTTCCTCTAAACTCCTAGGTCAACCCCAAACCCACGTCAGAACCTAAGACAGCTCTATGTTGGAATAAGCTGAAGTTTCCAATGGCAACTAAACCTTTATTACACGAACAGTGATTATTTTCAATAGTTTCTTTCTCTATTACCCAACGGCAGTCCAAGCTGCCAATAATTCTATTCTAGATTCCTTGGATTTATACATAAATTATCCTACTCACCACCTCATTCTTTGCAATACCCCTTAAAAACATAAAGAAAACGAAAAAAAAAAAACAAATGTCTACATATGTTCAAGAAATTATTGCTAAGAATTGATCAAAACAAGAATAGAAGAGGAATTTCTATGAAGATAATGGAGATACAGTAAAGGAAGCTGCCACCTTTAGACCTTAGCAAGAGGGACCCCCCCCCAGGGGCCTCCCCCAGAGGGCTGAGTGTGTAGGGCCAAAGGGACATGTGTAAAAGTTTTATTAGGTGGTATTTTTACTAGGTGACTATCCTTTTTGTGTGTCACCAACAAATTTTCGAACGTCGTGTCCCTAATCGCCTGTTTCTCACAAGTCATATAGTTCTTATTACACAGTTTTGCATAGTACAGAGGTTTTTAAGAATGCATATGTTGCATTATGGCAGAACTTACTGTATTTCAAAATCTTTTGTTGTGAGGAGGAATGAAAAGTTGGTTTGCTGAAGACTTTAAATATGCATGGTAAAGTTTATGGTTCTACACTGAGAGAACAGAAGGAAAACATTTTGCTAAATGATGTTTACAAGTGATTTACTTTAAAGAAAATTGCTGAAAAAAGTTGAAAACACAAATACAGAAAAAGATATAGATGAGGCAAAATTATTTTAGCAATCTTACATAGCAGGCAAAATGGATTTTAAGGCAAAAAAAAAAAAAAAACCCTCACAAATAGATATTGAGAGAGGCATCAAGTAATAATAAAAAGAATGATCCAGGGGCCGGCCTGGTGGCGCAAGCAGTTAAGTGCGCTCACTCCGCTGCAGCGGCCCGGGGTTCGCTGGTTCGGATCCCGGGCGCGCACCGACGCACTGCTTGGCAAGCCATGCTGTGGCGGCGTCCCATATAAAAGTTGAGGAAGATGGGCACAGATGTTAGCCCAGGGCCGTCTTCCTCAGCAAAAAAAGAGGAGGATTGGCGGATGTTAGCACAGGGCTGATCTCCTCACCAAAAAAAAAAAAAAAAAATGATCCATCAAGAAGATATAATAATCATGGCCTTCCACACTCTTAATAACAGAGCCTCAAGGAATATCAGAGAGGAAATGGATAAATCCACAGTCATAGTGGGAAGATTTAAAATGCTTCTCTAAGAAACAAAGATAATAACAGCAAAAAATTGTAAGGGTATAGATTTGAACAACAAAATTAAAAGGCTGGACCTAATAAATACATAGAAAACTCAGTAGCCAAGAGATAGAGCAAATACATTCTTAAAAAACACATGGAACAGTTGTAAAATACAAGATAAATCTCAACAAATTCCAAAAAATCCACACCACATAGTCTGTGATCTCAAGACAAATGCAACTTAAATTAGAAAATTACACTTTAAAAATAGTAAAAAGTAAAATTAAAAAATCACTAAAACACAAAGCATATTCCCAGATTGCCGAAACGTTTGAAATAAAATGATTTTCAAAGTACTATATAGCAAAATTTGTGGGATATCTAACCAAGCATTACTTAGAGGTACACTCATATCCCTGAATAAATATATTAGAAATCATAAAATCCTGGAAAGAAAATAAGCTAAATATTCAACTCAGGAGACAAGAAGAAGAGAAGTGCGGGGAGGTACCAAAACAAATAAAGTAGAAGAAAGGAAATTAAATGTAACTCAGACATTGTGAAATAGAAAACAAAGAAATAGAGCAGATTAATAAAGCTACAAGCTAGTTCTTTGAAGACTAAAAGCTTAGACAAAATTGGGTAACGAAAAAGAAAAAAAAGCCCAAATACACAATATGATGTATAACTTCCAAGAAGGAAAGGAGAATTTTTTAAAGTCTCAGTCAATCCAAAAGAAGAAAGGAAAGGAAAAAAGATCCATAGAATAAAAATAAGATATACTCTAGAAGAAATAGAAAACATGAGTTAAACAATAACCACTGAAGAAAGTTATATTGTCCCCAAAATCTTCACCTCACAACCAGAAAATATGGTAGTCACAGAGTTTTACAGGTGAATTTTAAGAAACGTTCAGGATAAAGATAAATCTTTTGCAAAATATCTTCAGTGAATAGAAAAAGAAGACATAGTCACTTGATGATATGAAGGAAGCTGGGACCCCTCTCCCTGGTCTAACAGGCAAATCTAACAAGCAAGCTGCATAGGCTTCAAGTCAGTACAATAAAATCCCCGCTGTGCTGTGAAGCAGCCACGCAGGCCTCATAGGCCTGTCTCTAGATGACCTTGCAAGTCCTAGTCTCAGGACTGAAGATGCCAGCAGGATGAATCAGCAACAGGAAGACATAATGGGTACCTTGCTCTCACATTTCCCAGCTGCATTTCTTAGAGATTGAGGCAAAAAGTAACGACCCTGGACCTTGCCTCCCTCCACACAGAGAGAACAGCAACATTACAAGCCTTGTTTGACACGTAACCAAAAAGTTCCCCTTATCCTTGGAGTAGCTGACTATGAGATCTGTGAGCCCTGTCCTGCATGCACACCACTTTGTGAAAAGTATATAAACTGCACTCAGCTCCGTAGACCTCGGGGCAGCTCCTCAGAATCCTCTGTTGGACTGTTTCCTGGGACTTGAGTGCCTCAGTTTGATTATAGAATAAACTCCTTCATTTAACCTTTACCTAGACTCTTTACTTCAGTCGATAATGAGTTTATTATACGATTGATATCAAAACTGGACAAGACACAAACAGAAATAAAATTTAAATCAATTTCAGTTATAATCATAAATATACATACCTGCAATAAAACACTAGCCAATCAAGTCTAGCAATCTATGTGTGTGTGTGTGCACGCACATGCCCATGTGCATGTCTCATAACCAAACAGAATTTATCCCAGGGCTGTGGATTGGTTGAATATCAGAAAAAATGTCAATGTAATTTACTGCTTTAAGAGAAGAGTGTAGAAAAACCATTTAATCCCTTCGATAGGTGTAAAAGAGGCTCTCAATAAAACTCAACAATTATTTATGATTAAATTCTTTGCATATTAGATAAGGCAATTATCAATTTACTGCCTGTCAGCTTCAAATTCATCCTTTAGTATCAGCTCTGCAATAACGGACAGAGCCCTGGAAGCATTTTCTCCTTTACAGTGAGTAAGATGCTTAGCTTTGCCACAAGAGGGCGGTGGCGGGACATTCAAGAGAAAAGGGGCTTCTCGGATTTCTCCTTTTTGCATTTCTGTGGTCCTGCTGCACTGCTGGTCAGGCTGTAGGCATGTGAGGACATCCAGTGGTTCTTTCTTTTTTTTTAATTCAATATATTATAAGCATAATCCACAACAAGCAATGTAGAATTAACCCAGAAAGGCAAGGGAACCTAAATATTTTGAATTAACATAATTAATATAGATACAGATGTACAACATTACATTACATGCCCCACAGAGTTTTGCTAGCATTCTTCTGCTCTTCCCTTTCTATAGTGTGGGTCTGAGCTTCTCTGGACTGCCTTTACTTTTCCCTGATGTTAACTAATAAATCCCACAGCTTGACCTGAAAACAAGACACCTTTCTAACTGCTGATGACAAACATCTCATCAAGAAACAGAAAAATATATTCTGCACCATAAAATGATAAAATGCCTTGCAAAGGGCACTTAGACCTTACAACAAGACTCTGCAATAAGGGTTGCAAACTGCTGTGAGTGTAATTCTCAGCCTGTAAGCAAAATCCTCACCCATGAAAGGTGGCTGAACTGTTTAGAAGCTGGACCTTGGAGCCGGACTGAACTCAAGCACAGCTCCGCTGCCACCAGCTGTGTGACTGTGGGAAGGGCTGTTAGCTCTCCTCACTCGAGTGTCCTCGTGGACGAAAGGTAGTGATAACACTGCTCACCATACAAGATTGCTATAGGGATAAAGGGAATGAATACTTTCCAGGTTGAGAACATGCCTGGCTGTGTGTAAAGACTGCATGTCCACTGAATGACGGAAATTGGTTGTCTTACTGTATAATGGTAGACATATGTAAAACAGCCTCGCTGTGTTCTGGGAACGGCAGGATTGTCCCACCAAGGGTGGGCTTCCTTGCCTTTCTCCTCGCCTCCAGAAGACTGTTCCCGTGAAGTTCACCACACATCCTTTTAGATGCAGCTTCCACAATGCAACCTTCCACAGAACTTTTTCTTCGGGCTCACCCTTCAATCCTCCTTTACTGACTCCTACTTTCTTGAGTTTTACGGTTTTTCTGGAAGTAGGTCTGTTACGAAAGGAGCTCCACTGTTGCTAATTCAAGTATGACTTTTGCTTTGGGCATGGTTTTTATCTGATTAGTACGTGCGCAGACAGGATCTTTTGCTCTGCACATGCCTTTGGCGGCACCACATTCACGACTGCGTAGTCCTGCCTGGAGGAGACGCCCATCCTGACGGTGCTCATTAAGCCTGCTGTCCTTCTGTCTCTCTAGCAGGCACGGTGGGAATTACGCCATCCATCTCAGCACGTCTGTGAGGACTAAGTGATTGTGTGAAAATGCTTAGAAAATGCCTGGCCATCAGTACATCCCAAATACGTGTTACCTTTTGTCACTATACACGTAATTGTGTTAGATAGCATGCTAAATTTATCATGTTACATTTATATTTAATATGTTAAATTTATATTTAAATTCTTCTGATACACTAAACTGGGTTTATATTTCTTTGTGCCACCATAATTGAGTACATATACATGCCAGGCATTGTGATAGGGATTTTTCACATAAATAAGATAAAGGTCTTATGTCATTTAATCATCAGCACAACCTTTGAGGCAATTATTGTTCTGCCCATATACAGACGAGGATACCAGGGCCCTGAGATGTGACGGCTGGAGGCGGAGCTGGGACTGAAGACCCTCTTAATCAGCAAGCTGCAGGACTCATTCCCTTTGTGCTGTGAAATATGTTAGTGATTCGGGTATGTCCTGATATGTTCGTTTTTTGATACTGCTATTATTCCTCTACATGTTCGTCTCCATATACATAAATAAAAATTGTTTTAAAAATACCACGTATGAACAACAAGAAAACTAACAACCCAATCAAAAAATGGGCAGAGGATACGAACAGACATTTTTCCAAGGAAGATATACAGATGGCTAATAGGCACATGAAACGACATTCAGCATCACTAATCATCAGGCAAATGCATACCAAACCACATTTAGATATCACCTTACACCCGTTAGAATGGCTATAATTACCAAGACAAAAATAACAAATGTTGGAGAGATTGTAAAGAAACAGGAACCCTCATTCACTGCTGGTGGAAATGCAAACTGGCACAGCCTCTATGGAAAACAGTATGGAGATTCCTCAAAAAATTAAACACAGAAATACCTTATGATCCAGCTATCTCACTACTGAGAATCTAGCCAATGAACCTGAAATCAACAATCTAAAGAGGCTTATGCACCCCTATGCAGCATTATTGTCTATAGCCAAGAAGTGGAAGCAACCCAAGTGTCCTTCGACTGATGACTGGATCAAGAAGATGTGGTATATATATACAATGGAATACAAGGACCTGCGTGCCCTTCCTTTCCCCTGACTCGCCACTTCTGGACCAGTCTCTCCTCCTGTACAATTATACGTTCCCCCTCAGGTTTATGGTCAAGGAATCTGCCAGAAAGAGCAAAGGTTAAGAAATACTAGCTTCAGTGTGGCTTATGACAATTGACACATTAGAGTACTCAGCCATAAAAAAAGACAAAATCATCCCATTTGCAACAACATGGATGGACTTGAAGGGTATTTTGTTAAGTGAAATAAGCCAAACAGAGAAAGACAAACACCGTATGATCTCACTCATATGTGGAAGATAAACTAACACATGGACAGAGAGAACTGTTTGGTGGTTACCAGGGAAATGGGGTTTGGGGGGGTGGGTACAAGGGGTGAGGGGGCACATTTATATGGTGACTGACAAATAATAATGTACAACTGAAATTTCACAATGTTATAAACTATTATGACATCAATAAAAAAAATGCCATGTGTTTATCTGTAAGTATACTTGGAGCATACATCATTAAACTGAGTGCTCCTAAGGGAGCCAACAACTCTCCCTTTAGAGAGATTCCTGAGGGGATCACTTACTCCTTTTCCATTTCTCCCATTAACCCCTATCCAAGGCTTTGACCACAGCAAACTAAGTACCAGATGTAAGTGGTGCTTAAGCACAACAGGCACATGCTGCAAATGACTATTCAGAAGGTAAACCCTCAGGCCAGGCTCCCAAACCAGAGGCTCTGAGCCTGGATGCAGATGTTATGAGCCCTCATAAGGTAGCAAGGCCACGGAGGGCTAGGGGCCAACACTCACGTGGTGACAGTGTTGAAGCCACAGGCTTTCAGCTTCAGGAGGCGGTCCCTCCAGTACTCCCTGGGCACTCGGAAATAGTGGATGGAGCCCCCTAAGATCAGGAACTTGTCACCCTCCAGGGTGAAGTACGGATTACTCCCAACTGTGCTTTTAGTCTGAAGTCCCACAGATCGGTCCTTCAGCTCGAGAGGGGTCAGATGAGACCAATTAAACCTGCTGAGAGAGCGAGAGACTAAGAGAGAGAGAGAAATAGAAAGAGAGGAGAGCCTGCCAAAGCCCTAGCAAAAAAAGTTCTTGTTAGCAGGACATGCTTTATGCATGCTTCCAATAGTATTTTCTCCAAGAAAGGAAGAAAGCTCCCCTCTCCCCGCTCAAGCAAACCTGTACTGGAGTGGCTGAGGCCACGCGTTTCCAGATATAAGATTCTTTTTATGTTTCACTCGAGGAGGAAAACCTGATAAGATAAATGGTAGGAAAAAGATGCACAGGATTCTTTTCCAGGAGAGACACGGGCTGAAAAGAGAAAGAAATAACAATGGCAAGGGGAAGGCATTGGCCTCGTCAAGCTACAAGGACCAGAAAGCTGCTCTAGAGGCAGGTTAGAGGCAAGGGCCTCAGAGGAGGCTCTCCTCACAGGCAGGACTCCTAGGCTGGCCTAAGGTGCGGGAAGCCTTTGGCTTACCCAGGTCAACCCAGGTCCCTGCACACCCGGGGGGCCCCACAGTCCCCCTCAGTCAGGACAGAAAGCTGCCAACAGACTTTCAGTCCCAGCAGCCTGCAGCCAGGATCAGGACTGGGCTGGGCCCTGGGGGAGGGGGTCCTGGGAGAAGGTGGAGGTGGGGTAAGGGGCTCCATGAGAGGTGCCAGCACTTCATCCACCAGGTTCAGGAAGGACAGTGTCTGGCAATTGGAGCCCCTTGTCAGCGTCCACACTGATTTTCTTCCATCTGGGGCAATGGACAGATCCTCAGCAGGGCGGGGTAGCTCAGGTACCGGCAGAAGAAAGAGTGGAGGAGAGAAAGCTTGAAAGGGGAGTTGATAATGCGAGTCTTGGCCAGGTTTGAGGGCCCAGAAGGGCACCTCAATCCAAAGGGGCCGTTGCCCCCAGTAATGTCCCCAGGGCCCAGCGCGATAAATGCCTGTGGCTGACTGGCTGACAGACGTGGAGGGAGGTCCAGGAGGCTCCCGGGTGATCGGGAAGCTGGGATGGGGCTCAAGGGACGCCCGCGCCTGGAAGGGCGGGATGGGCGCGGCCCAGGGAACGCCGGAGACGGTCACCTGGAGCGCGGCGGGGAACCCATCCCCGTGAAGTGGAGGAGCCGAGGTCCCAGGGACGGAGCCGGGGCTGCCGGGCGGCGCAAGGAGAAGGTCTCGGGCTCTGGGCTGCAAGAAGGGCAGAGCCCTGCGTGAGACCCGGGATGTGCGACCGCCTGTCTGCGCAGATGCCTTTCAGCTGGTGGAGGCAAGGCGGGAGGGTCTTGGGTTATAGCCCTGACCTCGATTTTCCTAAACTGTGTGTCACCAGCCAATTGGGACGGAAAGGCGGAGCTGAGGGGGAGGAAAGGACGAGGACAGCCCAGCCTACCCGAGAGCAGGAAAGTTCTGATTCCGCCGGTTCAGCAACTTTAGTGAGTGGCCCTTTGGTTCCAGACAGCGCTTTCGGACTAAATGGATGGGGGCGTGCACGCAATAAAACAGTTTCAATACGATGAGTAAATGCTAAAATAAAGATTCTGCAGGGTGTAATGGACGACGTACAGCCTACCCTGGAGGAGTAGTTTTCTCAAACTGAGTTGGTAAAAGAATGAGAATTATCAGAGCAAAGAAAAGTGGGAATGCTGTTCCTACCCTTGGGAATACTGAAAAGTAACTACATAGTATGTGCAAGAAACTACAGTTTGGAATTCTTTGGTTACAACGTAGCCTGAGTTGGGGCTGGAGAGATCAGATCAGGAGGAGGCAGGTCAGGGAGGGCTGAGGATGCAATACCTAGCAGCTCAGTCTTTTTCCAGAGATTTCAAGCAAGAATTAGGTCGGAAAATACTTTTATGGAGATTACTTGGTACAAGGTGGAGGCTGGATGAGAAACAGACAAGTCATCCCAACAGACGTGTCACCCGTGGATAGGGCTCTTGTGTTTCTCACGCTGGTAAAACTATGCAAGAGGAGGGAGTGGATGTAAGAAAAATCTGTGCAGTGAAGTTGGTAACTCTTGACAGTTGGTCGGATGAGGCAAGTGATACAGAGAAAGGGGTCTGGGATGACCCCCATGTTTCAGGCTTACGTGACTTTCGCAGATGGTGGTGACATTTACAGAGATCAGAAACACAGGACGTGATGAAGGTTTGAATAGAGGGACAAGAGTGATGAACCCAGGTTTGGACTTGCTAGATTTGAAGTACCTGTGAGGAAAAGAGAAATCTGATCTCTTCTCCTTGAAGCCCTTGCTTTTCTTTTCCCATTTGGAAGAACAAGGCCTGTGGCATGAGGTTGAAATCATGCAAATACAGCTGAAAACTACAGTTTTCGGAGACTACTGTGGGTTTTTTCTCTTGTCTCACTCTACAGGTATACTTTCCTCTTGAAACCTCAGCTCCTGGAGAATTTTGTAGGTTATCCATCTTTTTCTCATTCTTAGGTTGGAAGCAATGGATTCTTGAGACTTTCTACATCTTACACAGATGTATAATATTTAACTTCTTTGAATACACCTTGTTTTATAAATTTGGTTTCACAGCCACAAAACTTTATTCTTCTTTGTCAAGATCTTTTAAACTATTCTAAGGCCTGTGCCTTTCTGTATAAAATTTAGAATAAGCTTGTCTATTTCCACAAAAAGCCATGCTAAAATTTTGATGAGAATTGCATTAGACTTATAGATCCAGTTGGGGAGATTTTACATCTTTGCTATGTTGAGTCTTCAAATCCAAGAACATGCTATGTCTCTCCATTTATTTCGGTATTCTTTCACTTTTTTCATCAGAATTTTATGATCTTTCAACATACAGATTTTATGCATATATTGTTAGATTTATACCTCAGTATCTCATTTTCTTTTGAGCGATTTTAAATGGATTGTATTTTCAAATTCAGTTTCAGTATGTTCATTGTTAGCATATAGAAGAAATGCAATTGAGTTTCTTGTATTGACCTTGTACTCTGTGACCTTGGTAAACTCACTTATTAATTCTAGGAGGTTGTTATAGGAATTGAAAATCCAATTCCTTGGAATTTTCTTCAGAGACAATCATGTCATCTGCAAATACAGCTTTATTTCTTTTTTTTCAAATCTGTATATCTTTTATTTCTTTTTCTTATCTTATGATGGTAGCTAGAATTTCTAGTACTATGTTGAATAAGAGTGGTGGGAGCTGACATCCTTGCTCCCAGTCTCAGGTGGAAAACACTTACTCTTTCACCATTAAGTACGATGTTAGATGTGGAGTTTGTGTATACGTTGTTAATCAAGTTGAAGAAGTTCCCTTCTGTTCCTAATTTGCTGAGATTTTTTATTATGAGTGGTGTTGTATTTTGTCAAATGCTTAAACCATCTCTTCATTTTCTAGAACAATACCATCCTACTTTTCTTTCTGAAAGATACTTTTGACAGATAGAGAATTTGCAGTTGTGTGATATCATGATATAAGGAGAAATATATATATTTGGTTTTCGTTCCCAGTTCCTGTCACAGAGCTCCTAAAACCCTTGGAATTTCCTGAGTGATAGGGATGAGAAGAGCATCTTTTGTGATTCATAACAAGCCTTTTTCAAACACACCTGAGTTTATGTTAATGACGTGACTTTTGAAAAGCCCCTATAAGGATGAGGAGTTAGAACTTTCAGCCTCAACCCACCCCACAACTCCAACCTCTGAGGAGGAGACAGGGGCTAGAGGTTGAGTCAATTACCAATAGCCAATGATTTAGTCAATCGTGCCTACATAATGAAGCACCCATAAAAACCCTAACCGAAGGGGAACACTTCAGGGAGCTTCTACGTTGGTGAACATACAGAGAGTGGTGCATCCAGATTGGGCGTGGAAGCTCCATGCCTCTTCCCCACACCTGGCCCTATTCAGCTCTTCCCTGGCTGTTCCTGAGTTGTATCCTTTATAATAAACCGGTAAACCTAGGTAAGTGTTTCCCTGAGTTCTGTAAGCAGTTCTAGCAAATTATTGAACATGAGGAAGGGGTTGTGGGAAACCCTGATTTATAACGGGTCATCTCTACGATGACAACCTAGAACTGGCATCTGAAAGTGGGGGTAGTCATGTGGGACTGAGCCCTTAACCTGTGGAGTCTGTGCTAACTCTGGGCAGTTAGTATCAGAATTGAGTTAAATTGTAGGACACACAAGTTGGTATCTGCTGAGAACTGGAAAATTGCATGATGTGGAAAAACCGAAACATTTGGTGTCAGAAGTGTTATATGACTAAAGGGAAACCAGTTTTCCTTGAAGTTAGTACTTCTTCTCTTTCAGCCCTTGAAAAATATTGTGCTACTTCCTTCTGACTTTCATAGAATAGGGTTGTATTCCATGTCTCATAATTGGCTATAATTTCAACGGGGGTTTCCCTATAGGTAATGCATCATTTCTCTGTGGCTGCTTTCAAGATTTTTTCTTTATTTTTAGTTCTCTTTTACTTTTTCTTTTTTTGTTTTGTTTTGTTTTAGTGTTTTAATTTTTTAAAAAAGACTTAAGAGCAGTTTTATGTTTATAATAAACTTGAGAGGAAGGTACAGAGATTTCTCATATACCCCGTGCTCCCACATATGCACAGCCTCTCCCCTATGAACATCGCTCATTAGAGTGGTACGTTTTTTACCAGAGGTGAAGCTACAGTGACACATCATAATCACCAAAGTCCATAGTTTACATAGGGTTTACTCTTGGTGTTGTAAATTCTATCGATGTCGATATAATGTATAATGTATAATGACATATATCCACCATTACAATATCATACAGAGTATTTTCACTGCCCCCAAAGTCCCCGGGCTCTACCTATTCATCTCTTCCCATCCCCTACCCCTGGCAACCGATGATCTTTTTATTGCTGCCATAGTTTTGCCTTTTCCAGAATGTCGTATAGTTGGAACCATATAATATGTAAGCCTTCTCAGATTGGCTTCTTTCACTTATTAATATGCATTTAAGTTTCTCCATGTTTCTTTATGGCTTGATAGCTCATTTCTTTTTAGTGCTGAATAATATTCCATTGTCTGGATGTACCAATTTATTTATCCATTCATCTACTGAAGGACATCTTGGTTGCTTCTAAGTTTTGGCTAATTTTTGTGTGGAAATAAGTTTTCAACTCATGTGGGTAAATACAAAGAAGCTTGATTGCTGGGTCGTATGGTCAGAGTAAGTTTTGTAAGAAACCTCCAAACTGTTTTCCAAAGTAGCTGTACCATTTTGCATTCCTACCAGCAGTGTACGAGAATTCTTCTTCCTCAACATGCTTGCCAGCATTTGGTATTGTCCGTGGTTCTGGATTTTGGCTGTTCTAATAGGTGTGTAGTAGTATCTCATTGATGTCTTAATTTGCATTTTCCTGATGACATATGATGTGGAGCATCTTTTTTTATCGTGATTACTTTTATTATTCTTATTATTATTTCCACATCTTTCAGATCTTTCATATCTAATAATTTTTTTAAATTATTTTGTTGAGGTCCTATTGGCTTATAACATTGTGTAAATTTCTGGTGTACATTATTACATATCAGTTTCTGTATAACTGCATGGTGTTCACCACCAATAGTCTAATTTTTATCTGTCACCATACATATGTGCCCCTTTACTCCTTTCATCCTTCCCCCAACCCCTTCCCTTCTGGTAACCACCAATCTGTTCTCCTTATCCATGTGTTTGCTTATCTTCCACATATGAGTGAAATCATATGGTGTTTGTATTTCTCTGTCTGGCTTATTTCGCTTAACCTAATACCCTCAAGGTCCATCCATGTTGTGGCAAGTGGCAAGATTTTGTCTTTCTATATGGCTGAGTACTATTCTGTTGTATGTATATATACCGCATCTTCTTTTTGTTGTTGTTGTTTATTGTTCTTTTTTTCTTTAAATGATTTTATTGAGGTCATATTGGTTTATAACATTGTATTTCAGGTGTACATTATTGTATATCAGTTTCTGTACAGACTGCATCTTGTTCACCCCCAATAGTCTAGTTTTTATCTGTCACCATACATATGTGCCCCTTTACCCCTTTCACCCTCCCTCCCCCCTTCCCCTCTGGTAACCACCAGTCTGTTCTCCTTACCCATGTGTTAGTTTATCTTCCACATATGAGTGAAATCATACGGTGTTTGTCTTTCTCTGTCTGACTTATTTTACTTAACATAATACCCTCAAGGTCTATCCATGTTGTGGGAAATGGCATGATTTTGTGTTTTTTTTATGGCTGAATACTATTCCATTGTGTGTGTGTGTGTGTGTGTGTGTATATATATATATATATATATACACACACACACACCACATCTTCTTTATCTATCCATCAGTTGATGGGCACTTGGGTTGCTTCCACGTCTTGGCTATGGTGAATAATGCAGCAATGAACATAGGGGTGAATAACTCTCTTTGTATTATTGATTTCAAGTTCTTTGGATAAACACCCAGTAGTGAGATAGCTGGATCGTATG